GATGCTTGAAACTGTGTCGGCCACCTTGAAAATGTTTCCCAACAGCTTAATCAAAGTATGAATTTATCTAGCATCCATGTATAACTCTCGCTCTTTGCGCAAAAGCTCAATTTGATCCAAATTGTAATAAATGATTTATAAATATTTATTACATATTGGATCATCACTTGAGTTCATGCTAACTGTATGCTAAAGCGTTTATAAGTTTTTGAACAAGTACCAGCTTTGGGGAGGCCTTGTGCCACATACAAAGTAGATTTCAAGGTCAAGTGTAGCTCATGGAGTTTTCAATTGTGTCGTTACAAATCGAGGTCACGATGTGAGATAGACTAGAAACCAATCGTCAGTCTACTTGACAACAAGAATCAGTTTTTGTGGCGTGATAAAGACACGTTCTTGTTGTCTCATTGTAAAATAATATCAACAGCAGATTATGACAGCCTCCATTGTGTTGCTTATAGTCAAAGTTTGCAAACGCTATACAGCAATGAATTAGCTGTGTTTATCCTCATCTCTTTAGGGAGCTCGTTCAACGAAGCAATTGTACTCATGTTCATTATGATGATAATGATAAGTGCAGAACTGAGATCCTGCTCAAGACAACTTTTTTCTGCTAATATCAATCATCATTTGCTGAGGTTGTTCATTCACCACGAGGAAATGTGACTGCATTGCCTATATTTACATCATTTGTGAAGTCACTAAGCGTACTTCCTGTGGTTTCTTTAGAAAGCTAAATGTGATAGTTCTGACATTAGCTTGTGTAATGAATAGAGTCTACTGCAGAGAAATCCCATTTTCACACAATCGAACTCTGCTGAGTTTATTCTAGAGAATGTGGTTACGAGATACATTTATAGCAGAGCCGAGTTGAACCATCGTCAAGTCCATGTCACGTTTCCATCTAAGAAAGAAGAGATTACACGAACTTACATCAGGTGTCTTTAGTTGACCCTACCTTAAAGAACTGATAATTTGTTGTCTCCATCGGCAATTGCCCTACGAATGTAAAAGCAAGGTAGAGAGCATGTACCTGTTTTCTACTTTCGTCGTGTGACACTGTGAATATCCATATTTTCATGTGTGTGTATGTGAAATAACGTCATAACTGCGTTCTGAATTACATGCACCAAGTAAGAAGAATTTGAACTTTGGATTGAGAAATCCATTCTTCATCACGTAGGCATCATTATGATGATGATGATAAGTGCAGAACTGAGATACTTCTCAAGACTTTGTCCATGCATTGATTCCATAGCGTTGTTGATATCTTGATTGTTATGACATGTCTTCCTCCGTTCATCACGAATCCACTGACCTAAATTTCAAAACAGTAAGTTAGATGTACTTCTGGAAGACCATTAAGCTAAAAATGACTTCCACAATGTAATAACTTCATATATAATGCACATGTTACAAACTTACACTTACCCATACAAGATTCCCATTTGTTTGGAAGTACTTCACAATTTGTGGCTCAGAGAGCTGAAAATTTTTGTAAAATAACAGAATCTTCATCGCAGCAGATCTTTCCACATCAAATTCTTCTCCATGAGCAGTCAATGTGCTTCCAAAGCACAGGTCTTCTAAAGCAGCATTCATAATAGCTCTTTTTTCATGACCACTCACAACCTCAATCAATTTCTTTGTCCATGCTTTTTGAACATGATATATGCAAAGAAATATAGGGATATGTGGAAAAACAATGTCTATGGCAAGTCTCTCATTGTCAGCACAATCCGTCATGAAGCACGAGGGCATCCATCCAGGAATATAATGTGAGGCCATCTTCTTAACTGCAGATAATAATTCCACCAGATCTTCTATTTCTTCTCTTTCGAGGAATCCAAAAACAGTAGGATGTCCGTGTTCATATTCGTCAAACACCATCACGGTGTACAGTGGATATTGCATTGCAAAAAATGAAATAAACTTATCAGTTTGCTGCTAGCAGTCGTCTACAAAGTATTCATCTTCATTGATACTAAGCTAAACCTGATACAAATGAATGATTCGTTATTCTTATGTCTTGATAAGCTAGACATAATCCAGGTATATAAAACAACATATTCATCACACATTGAGAAGTTCAATAATGTCTTACAAGACTGGTTAAAGCTCCAAACCGTCATTTTTTCAAATATCTTGCAAATTGTAAGGTAGAATATATATAATCATGGAAGCCTGATGATAAAAACATCAAAATGGACAAGTAGAATATTACCTTATAATTCTGCATGCCATGTGTTCCATCTATAGCAACACAACCTCCATCTTTCCATGTTTTAGCAACCAATCTAGGAGCAAGGGTCTTGTAACAGCAAGCACCAATGGTTTAAATGTATCACTTTTTGGTGCCTGATACAAAACAACTTGAGATGAATTTGCTTTCATCCATAATTCTGTGCTAATTCTATCATTAGCATGCCTTCTCCAAGTTTCTTTGTCCAGTTCCAATTTGATATTATACACATCAGCCGATGTAATAAAATGATCTCTAATAGTTATCCCTTGCACATAGCCCAAACTTTGATGATTTTCAAACAGTGCTTTTGCAGCATGCATGAGAATTTGTGGAGGAGTTAAACCTCTTTCTTAACTCGCATTCAACCCACTTCTTGGCGAAAGAACGTAGAAAATATTAGACAACGTGATTGCTTAGCGTCAAAGTTTTACAAACTGTAATTACAACAAACTTATTGTACATATTACAAATATGACGGGAGATTGACTGTGAACGATAAACAAATACAATTATGAATTCAACAGTGCTTCAACATTAACGAATTCTTGAAGTGCTCATCAATTCGTTAATGTTGAAGCACATAGTGCCCTAAATCCTCTGGTTCTGGCCAATTTCCTCTCATAGCGATGGGTAGAACATCGGGCTCAACCTCGGAAATCCTATAGAGATTTGCATCGATCCATCCGCCTCTCGTCATCTTGTCGTAGATGATGAGTTTTGGCACTACCGTGCACCAGCAACCATACGGCTACCCGGGGTTTTGGCGGTTTACGGGCGACCATGCGGTTGTTGAAATCTCGAGTTGCGTCGTGCGTCGGGACCCTCGGCTCATGAAGCAGCCGAATTGAACCACCATCGATCCGAGAAGGTCTTGAGGCGGGAGCTCCCAGTGTTCGTCACTTTCCGGTTTCCCCCACACACAAGAATCCGCAAACATATATGGGAACGAAGTGATTGATCATTCGGTTCCGGATCTCAGACCGGAGATTGTTGTGTAGTTCCAACACGGCGGCATGAAGGTCTTCGGATGGTGGATTGGTCATGCGTATCCGTAGCACCACATTGCCACCAACTCCCATGAGCCAAGAAGTTATAGGCCAAATTTCCATCGTACGCTCTTCCTCTCGGACGACTTTCAGCTCATATTTCGTGCCCCACGGACGATCGGGAGCAACATGGGCTATTTCGCGGATGATGAAGTCACCCGCAGCCAAAATAAAAACTGTGTCGAGAACAAGCTTATTGTGATAATAACTCGTCATGTCATTCTTCTTCGTGGGATTTGACTCCAATTGGGCTACCATGTGCCACATTCCGGGCGCATCCGCAGTATCCAAGTGGTGGATGTGGAGTGTAGCAGTCTACAAGGGTTTCCAGGTATACATACTGGACGTGAACTCCATAATCAGTGCTTCAACATTAACGAATTGAAAGGGTCATCATAAGGTGGCCTACACAATCCATCCTGACTCCATGCTGTCACCATACTTGCAAAAAGCACCTGAAATGACAAGAAAAGTACAAGCACGAGCTCTGGCACGAGCTCTTGAAAGCACTGATACTGGCACCCAAAAGCTACGTCAAAACGACGAGATGGAGACTATCGATGTGATCCTATTTTCAAAAACCCTAATCTTTGCCGCTTAAAATTTTGTCGCCTCAATATGTTATCACCGTTTGATTACAAATATTACAGTTCGAACATTAGGGATTCCAGCTAAGCTATCACTCTTGCGGTTCAATTTTAGATTTTGGTTCCCGCAAAGTTCCACGACACAACCGCGATCATTGTTACAGCATAGATCATTGCAACGCAATAGATACAACAATGCGGCCTCTTCTACATGGTTGTTTTAATTTAATCCGATTGAGGGCCTTTACATGGTTGACGGAATGTAGGGTCCGCCGAGCCTCGAGTTCTCAAAACTGAGATAAAATCCGGCTGACTCGGAAGTGAGCATGAAGAAAAAAATAAAGATGAGAAAGAAACTGGGATACCCACCTGGCATTACGGCAGTTTGCAAAAGTTTGTGCATCTAAACGAGTCGCTGAAAGCTGAGAGCACGTCAAACTTCAGTATCTCCGAAGATTATTTCAGGGTTTAAACTTTCAGGATTTAACTCATTTTACATAATATTTAGAGATTTAATAATTTGTAATTAGAAGCCGGGAACAGTTAATAGAAGTGTTGTTTATACGATGTGTTGCAACTGGGAGACGAGACGCAATGGTACACATGCCTTGAGCTTACTTAAAAGCATCTAGGTTCTCGACACAGTACCAGCTGCCATCTAAAATGCGTGCAAGTTTTGGCCAAAACTGCTGGTGCTGTATCACTCGCTCAGGCGGCAACATCCAAGCAGTTTTCTCACTCCACTTTTCGAAGCACATACCGTCGAAGGCATGTACATCTCTCCATACAATAACACTTTTGATATCAAGCTTCGACAGTCTTCATATTTCCTTCGCTCAAACGAAATATGAAGTTCGAACTTTGTCCGCTAGTAAAACTGGTTGCGCTTCTAGTCCACCTATTCGGGGACACACTTCGGACTCTTACAATGTGGCGTTCAGATCCATCTCTTCCAGATATTCTTTCCAGCCATCTTTTTTTTCCAGTCCCACTATTCCAAGTGGACAGTTTCTCCTTTCATGGTCAATTACCTAAAATTTCGATACTTTAAATCTACAATAATCTTCAATTTCAGCGAAGAAGTAATCTCTAGTGTCCTAACAATATTTAGTCAACTAGCTAACCCTTACTTCGTTTGAACCACTTTGCTTGCAGAGGATACCCGAGAATTTTACTTCCTCCAAAAGACATGTGAAGCCAGAAAGTAAATCTCCATTTATTGCAAAAACCAGGGAGCACAGAGTTCACATGTTACACCCAACCCTTGATCATGCAATTTATAATGTCATACGTGGTTCTTCCTAATCTCCTGGGTGTGAGAAACCACACCAAAGTACCTCCCAGGTTTCTTGTGGAGCTCCTAGTCTCGCTCAGAATTTCACAATTCAACTAAAATCCGAGTTGGCAGATATACTTTAAGGAGATGAAACGGCTCATAGTTAGTTGTGCACCACAATAAAGGTAGGAGATACGACTTCCGTCATATGTTCCTCCGTCCAGCTTCATTTACACGTTCTCTTACGATCGATAAGATGAGGTAAGAATGAAGGTCCCAGGTCACTGATGATTGATTGGATTGCAAGCTCTGGATACAAAAGCTTCCTAAACAGCAAAAGTCACGGAGCACTGCCCTGTAAAAGTTACAGACAAAGTCCCATACCGGAACTAAATCAGACTGGAGATGCAAGACCGATATTACAATGAGCATATATACCTTTGAGTAACATCTACAACGTTCAAACATTTCAGCTCGCATTTTTTCTGCTAAACGAAAATAGAGCGAAACAAATCGAACGGTCACAAAGCGGTTGGCCAAAGGGCCATCACTACAGGGCCGAAATGCCACTTATTACCGTCCATATCTAATAAAGCAAGAAATCTCGACAAACTTGCCAATTCCATACGCTTTGATAACATGGAAAATAACTCACGCTACGCTCTTCGCGCTGTACAGGGAGGAAGATACAAAAGGTCTTGACTTAGGCGACAGAAAATGAGAACAAAAAACACCCCGACAAGCTCTTGAATGTGCAGACTTACGAACGAGGTGACAGAGCACTAAACATAATGAGGAAACACGTCACCAAGTGAACGAGTTTTGGGTGGTTAAGGGGCATACCTTGCGGCGAGACAGACTGGAAGGATCCCATCCTCTGTAGCTTGAAAAATCACTTCCGCATACACCGATAGCAGTCGATCTCAAGAGATGGACTCTGAGAAACTCATTATTGACCAAAGTTCATCTCAGAGTATCTGAAACAACAACATTATTAAGACCAAAAGTGACTACTTGATGGGCACTTCACCAAATGCCCATCTCCAACGATCTACGCAATATCTAGGTAGAAATCACAACTTTTCCGTTCCAACGAAACGCAAGACCTGGAGACAGCATAAGTTGCGCAGGGTTCAATTGCAAACGAAAGGACTTAACAAACTAACCTTCGAGGCTTGCTCTGGCGCTGCTCGAATTCATCTGTTCCAAGCTCTGTATAATGCAGTTCAATAAGAACCAGTTAGACCGGGGTGCAAAACCAACAACTAGAGGTTTCATAAAACAAACTAATAATAATTGAACTAGGATAACTATGAATGGACTCCACCACGTGACCTTTCGAACAGTTCACAAACCTGGGCTGGGAGGAGGCTTCCACAGGCCACCTGGCGGCTTTGCGCCGTTCATATCTCTCCTGCACAAATGAATTGAGCGTAGCTATATGTTATGAGCAATAGTCGTGAATTAGTGTTTTCTCAATAAACGACCAAAATAAAAAAAGAGCTGAAACCCTAAACCCTTAACCCAAATATAGTAGCTGAAACACTAGGCAACTCACCGGGTAGTGAAATACGTAGTAACTACTCTACACTCGTATTCGAGTTTGACAAAATAATTTGCACTGAATGTTACGCTATGTAGTAAATAAAGGAGGGGCTCACATATTCGAACCAATATAATTCAAGATCTCGAATATTAGCGAGTAATGTCCCTGTTAAAAAGCTGCGAAGTCAGGGACAAAAATCTAACATTTATGAAGGTGACTGCAACGAGTCTTACTGAGCCTGTAGATAAAGCTTCTTTTGCATAATATGAAGTAACCAAGATACAATGAAACGGACGTGTAGTATATAGCAGTCCGCACGCAATGTGAGAGACCAGAAAAACTTGCGTGCAACAATCGAAATTCCATGCACAAAAATGACGGTCAGCGGACAATCAACTCAGAGAAGAGGGTGGCGTGCGACAGGACATAGAAAGAAAATGTATGAATAACAATAACCAATAGCATCTATCGGTATCTCAAGACAAAATACAAGGGACTCGAGCAAAATCCAAGCTATACCAGCACACTGCGCCAAGGAAGAAAAACAGTTACGAAAAGGCCCAGCGGATCACTAACTGAAGTTGAGAGAAATCGCCTATAGACTGATCTCCGTTGATCAAGGCAGTGCTATCACCACGTAACAAAGATATGAATATCGGAAAGCAACATTTGAAGACATTTCCAACTCACTGGTGAAAATCCTTTCATACATGCTCTTCATAAACTTCAACAATCTGAACATTCAAGAACCGATAGCAAGCAACCGTTGCTGATTCCGTTCAAAATATCAAAGTTCACAATTCTGCCTGTCATGGCCTGAAGACAACAGACCCCACGCACTGGCTGAAGGATATATTCTAGTACAGATTCAGTAAAAGTGAACAGATGTGAGGAGACGTGGACTACTTGAGAGTGAAAAGTGTCTATTTTTAGTTCCCATAGATAAATGACTTTCACAAATACTGAGCTATCTCATCCACCTGACATATGTAGTAACCGCGGTATATATGACTGAAAGTGCGCCTGCTTTGGGCTCAAGGCTATTCCTTGAACAAGTTTTGCCCCAACGGACAGCTCAGGCTGTCATGAGTCCAGAAGAAGCCGTTCAAGAACTTACCCAGGAAGATGATATGGCACGGGTTGTGCCGACGGTTGGGTGTAATACATGTGCGAAGGAGCTCCTTCCAGGGCAATATAGGGTGCTCCGTAAGCACCTCCTATTGCTCCACCGCCGGCCAAGACTGGCACCCTATATCGATAAGAGAATATAATATAATAGAATGAGAAACAGATTGGAGTTCGAAGGGAAGGAGCAAAGCTTCTCATAGAGAAGGCAAGTCCCTAAAAAATATTCCTAAAGAGCGAACACCACTTTGGAAAGCTCAGAAGGGATGCTACGCACAATTGAAACTTCACAGAATCATCATCATCGAGATTAGCGACTTGAAGCACTTCACAGACTGCAGCATACGTACCATGTGACCTCCGAGTTAGGAAACCCATACGGATAATTAGGAATTGGCAAACCAACCGCAGGAACTCCAATGCCCGCAGGAGCTTGGGCCCCATACGGTACTGAAACTGCAATCCAACATAGCAACCACATGTTACTTTGTCATTTTGTTGTTCTTCAACTTTGGATTGATACTGTATTACTTGACGAACTTTACAAGGACACTCCTCACCGTGACCAAGATACGAACTCAAAACGGTTACTGGAAGAAACGTGTCTGTCCTATAATAAGTTTCCCGCTCGTTATGTCATTGTGAAACCATGAGAATAAGTCTATTAAAGGGTCTAGGTTTCAGGTGAATAGTCAGTAAAGTCAAACGGCTCCTAGCACGAAAGGAGCGCATCTTCCTGCACGAATAAATCTTCTCATTTGGAAGCCTTGAGTAACATCAAAGGAGTCCACGAAAGAAAGTTCTCGCAGGCCCGCCCTCGAAGGCAATCCCCCAATTCGTGAAAATAAAGACAGCATCGAGGAACGAACCCGTCAGAGCACTTGGATGCCTTCACCGCCGGCGGAATGAATGCGGCGGGACGGCCATCAGGCTGAGCCTAGCCCAGAGTTGCACCGAGCCCGGCCAGCGGTATCGTGCACCGGCACCCAAGCCTCTGGTCATCGTCCGGGTTGAGGGACTTGTCTACGATGGTGTTCACAGATCAAGATGTTCGCGCTATGGAACAGATCCTGTTTGAGTATAGTCGTGACAGACGCTCGCCAGTTTCGAATAAAATTACAGACGATCACTTCAGGGTTCCTAACAAACTCAAGGTGCCAAACATGGCAGCGGGAGCACAACCGGCCCTTGCTTGGCCCATAACAGCATCGACCATAATTCATCATTTCTGATTAATATATGGTTCGAACCTGCCAGGCATCCCTTCTTGCTCGTGATATCAATACGCCCGTTGAACATGTGAGAGGAATTTTCAGACACAAGCACCAAACAACTATAATTTGACAGAATAACAACAGGTGAGGTCTCCTATTCTTGGCTGTTTGACAGAATAACAACAACAGATGAGGTCTCCTATTCTTGGCTGTGAATATTCCTCCATCTTCAATCCACATCAAAGCCGATAAGTAAATCTTCAATTGCGTGACTTTCAGTGCTTCGCATCGACCACGGCATCGAAACTGCAGCCTTTGAGAGAACCAGGAAATAATACGAGTTGTTGCAAACACTGTTACGCGTTTGACTACTGTAGATGGTTGGGATACGTGGCTTCAAAATATGCTACCCGGGTTTGGCACCCGGGCATGAGAATCAAATTCTCCTCGTGTGGTATCTATGTCTGGCTTTGTACGTGAAAGGGACTTTGAAGAGTACCTCCTGTAATTGCCTATTGGCTAGACCTGTTCAATGAAATCCTGGTCATTACTGGCGCAAATGTCCAGGATTTCATTGAACAGGTCTAGCCGATAGGCATTGCTGGCGCAAACGTCGTGTTCCGATCTGGTACACTTGCTAGGCATCATCTTTGGAGCAACAAAATCATCCAAGTTGAAGAAGCCTTGATTCTCAACCTCACAAGCTTGGTTTGAGAAACATACCAGTACCCACGGCCGGTGTAGGTTGAAATCCTGGCTCCCCAACTTGTAAACCAGCCCCTGCACCTCCAATAGAAGCACCCGCAAAAACATAAGACCCTCTACCTCCCACTGTCATGTTTCCCATTCTTGCCCCTCTTCCACCCCCACTGTTTTTGTACCGTGTACTGTTAGGCACCTGCACGTGATTACTCGAACTTGGACGCGGTGAGGACCGAGAAACTGAAGGCTGTCCGTGCGCTTGTTGACCCTGATTTTGAGGTGAGCGCATAAACGGCGTGGCTTGCTCCTGTGCAGCCACTCCTCTGACAGACTGTTGTGCTGGAATAGGCCCACCGGCGGGTCTATTCACATCTTGATTCCGTTGAGACTTCACATCCACTTGCTGTTGTTGACTTGAACCAGCAGGATTTGCTTTCGGAACTTGTTGATACACACTAGAGGGTGCACCTGCTTCGGCCTGATTCCAAGAGTAATACGCTGTGCCCTGAGGAACAGATCCTCGTCCTTGGCCTCCTTGTGGCTTGGCTGGAGTAGTTTTCTCAGTTCCTACTCTAGCTTTCATCGCCGGCCCTGTTGATCCACTTCCATATTGCTCTCTCCCCTTGGTCTGACTACGGCCTGCAGCAGCAGTGACTCCAGTGTCTCCTGAAGACTCCACTTTTGTGGAGAGCTTTTGCTGCAGGGCTCCGGATGGGATGAACGGAGGTGAAGCAGAGTTCAGATAGGAACCACTTGTAAGCTTCTTTGAAACACTACTGTCTGGTTCCTTGCCACTTTGTCCAGATATATCTGCATCCGTCGCATTGGCTGACGTTGCTTCTTGTGACGACTTGGAGCCACTGCATAGATAACAGGGTACAGTCAGGTCGCAAGCGACACCGGCGACAGATAAAGAGAATATCATAGACGTCAAATTGCTAGCTGACACATCAACAAATGAAAGAAGAGCCTTTGGCTTGCATTTGATATCCAGCTCCCTAACAAGGCAAATCAACTCTGCAAACTGCGCATCTGTTCGCGGGTCGACGAGTCCACGCAGATATGGCGCGGGATCATAGGAAAATCTGCTCGCATCCTACCCGCTGAAGCCTACATGCCTCATCTTCACCACCTTATAAGACTCCAGTGTTCCAGTCTTACAATGTGAATGTACGTAGTTCACATCACACCAATAATATAAAACAATCTGACCAAAAAACAGTAAAAATAAGACCAATCGAAAATGGCCGACACACCAATGATCAAATGCTTATCTATGCCTCGTACGAAGTCGTCATGAGAGCAGCGTTCAAATGTATGACGTGTAAGGATCAAGGTTTTCTCATCCTAATTTCAGATAATATGACAGTACTTTGGAAACCTTTTGAGGTCAGTAAGGTACGATCAGACACAATCACCTACATATTTAATGTACATCTTAGCACTCAATTTTGTTATTCAACCCAAATAGCACCTTTGGCTGCGCTTTGCAAAAGATATCAAAATTGCATACATGTACTACTGCGAGTCAAGCTACTAAGCTGCAGACGCGCATTTACACAACCTAACTTCATCCAGTGATTCTTGTGTGCCAGAACCACCAGAAACTCACGGACACAGTATGTAATCTATTGACAACCAACTGATAATAGTTTTCACAGATTTAGAAAACGTATATAGGTAAAGCTAAGCCTGCTGCGACTCCAAACATGAAGAATGAATGTCTACTGAATCACGCACTAGTTGGTGGCACCAGCAGCGGAATCAGAAGTCTCTGCCTTCGAAACACGTCCTCTTCCTAAAGGCTGTGACCGCATTCCACCGACATCTTCATGATTGTTCATTCTCCCACCTCTCTCACGACCTCTTCCTCTACCTCGACCTCTTCCTCTCCCTCTTCCACCTTTGTGAAAGCCCTGAGAAAGATCATGCCCACGGAAGCAAAAGCGTCAGCACCACATCACTTCTGAGCTGAAAGCTTAGCGGTTCTGAGCCTAAAGGTCAAAAAGCTTTGGTTACCGGCAGTAAAGCAAACTATGCATCTACAATAACTTCTCATCTATCGAAGCTTCAAAAACAAGTAAATGGAAAAGAGTGAATCTATACCTCGCCGGTCATTTTCTCGTTTTGCAAGTTTAGCTCTTCAAAAAGGTCATGCACCCACAGCTTGTCGTCCTTTGCTTCCCACAATTTCCTACCACCCATGCTCCTCCTGAGACACAAGAGCGCTGTAGAGTTTAGAACAAGGAAAGCGCTCAACCCCAGAACCAGATAGGGCAGAGAGTTCCATAATCGAGTCCGAGACTTGCTCCTCTGAAGTAGAAAGGGAGTAAGCAAGGTTATAAAAGCATCGCAAGGACCCAAAAGAACGTTAACTGAGTACCGCTGTCAGTCCTGGCTCTTAGTATCCCCTCGCTGAAGAAAACTTCTAAATAAATCGCTTGTAGTCAGTAGTTGATGTATTACTGTTCGCTGTATGCAGAGTAATCTCAAATTTCCCATTGTAGTCAGTAGTTGGCGTATTTCTGTTCGCTGTATGCGTACGAATCTCAATTTCCCCTGCTGCCTCCACTTATAGTCTGAGATGGCAAATTCAGGAACTGAGTGTAGGATGTAGAAGATACTCCAGTGGTCTATGGAGTATAAATAAAAAATGGAGAGAGATCATAAAAATCTGCTGGGTGTTTCGAGATCCTCCGTTCAAGTAAACGAAAGGACCCCAAAACAAAGCGAAATCCGTGTTTACCGCGTGATCTGTTACAGTAATCTCCCGCCTAAGTGCGCGACTTGAACCTGGAAGGACAGTGCGTACTCGACCAGTACGTGCCAACGATGTGATTTAATAGAGAAGCTGAGCAACACGGATGCTCCCAGTTAGAAGGCTCTAGCCCGCGAGTACGATGATAATGAAAGAGCTATCAGAAATGTGTGGGACAAGCAGGAGCGAATCCTAAAGAGATCTGACTTAACAATTTTTTATGGAAGCTAAGAGAACACTTTTCAATCCTCTATTGTTCGTTTCACCGATCTTGAAGACATGCTTTACACCTGGATTGACCGCATGAGTCGTGCCGATCTTCCAATTCTATCATCTTTTGCCATTGCCAGAGTAAAAAGTACAGCATTCAGTTTATCGATTCCGGAAACGGACTTTAAGTCATGCTGGTAATGGCTGAGTGAATTCACAATGCGTCACAAGGATTGCAAAAAATGCTGCTTCACGAAGAGGGAGCTTAAGTCAACATATCCGATACTCGATTGCTTGAAGCTTCAGACGACCTTTACCCATTCCATATGATCCTGAAAACGTCTCTATAAAATGTCCAAGACCGGCTTTTTTTTTCCTACTTCCAAGATACAGCCTGCTATTAGTCAGTCTGTCATTCTCACCGCGTCCATCCACTCCGAAGGGATCAAAACCTAAACCACATTTCTGCTTCCTGTAGATGGTGATTGTCTGGCAATCACCATCTAAAAAGGCCTGCAGCAACCTGTTCTGAGGTGAAAACGGCTCATCTTCCGACTGGTAGTCGCTATCAGATTTGTAAACTGCCATTTCCATTCCTTCTTCACTACTTACACGAGATCGGCTTGTTTGTTTCCTACTTCCAAATAACAGCCTGCTACTTATCAGTTTATCATTCTCACTGCGTCCATCCACTCCAAAGAATTCAAAACCTATACCGACTGACGGGCAAGGATCTTGCTGGATATGCCTCCGGCAACCTGTTTTGAGGTGAAAATGGCTCATCTTCCGACTGCTAATCCCTATCAGATTTGTAATTGCCATTTCTTTTCCTACTCACCATGTATACGAGATCGGCTTGTTTGTTTCCTACTTCCAAATAACAGCCTGCTATTCATCATTCTAACATTCTCACTGCGTCCATCCACTCCAAAGAATTCAAAACCTATACCATATTCTGCTTCTTGTAGATGGTGACTGTCCGGCAAGGATCTTGCTGGACAGGCCTCCGGCAACCTGTTCTGAGGTAAAAATGGCTCATCTTCAGACAGGTAGTCGCTATCAGATTTGTAAACTGCCATTTCTATTCCTTCTTTACTATGTATACGAGATCGGCTTGTTTGTTTCCTACTACCAAGATACAGCCTGCTATTCATCATTCTATCATTCTCACTGCGTCCATCCACTCCAAAGTGATCAAAACCTATACCACATTCTGCTTCTTGTAGATGGTGACTGTAGGGCCAGAACCTTGCTGGATAGGCCTCCGGCACCCTGTTCTAAGGTGAAAATGGCACATCTTCAGACTGGTGGTCCCTATCCAATTCGTAAATTGCCCCTTTCATTCCTTCTTCACTAAGTACACGAGACAGGCTCGTTTTTTTCCTACTACCAAGGTACAGCCTTCTAATGCCAGATGAGAACATACCAACCACTACCGGGAAGGAAAAATCCACAAATTGGTTTCCAAACGCAAGAATCTTCAAAACCTGCGCCAAGTGATAATCTATGACATGTTGTACTAAAAAAAACCTGAACCCTATTTTAATGGGAAAATAATGCGTAGTTAGACGGGTGCGAACTTAAAAGGGAGGCTACTGTATATAGAAAACAATGCGTGCCGTGACAAGCCACGGGCTTTATACGAGTGCTTTGGGGACCAGTAGATAAGTTTGGGCAGTAGAACCAATGCATGTTATAAGCGCTGGGTCAACCCGTGCCGGGACGGCTGGTACTAAACCTGGAAAAAGCAGCGTACATAAATGCATAGAAACCTCGTAAATTGTAAGGCTTAGCATCTTTCCTTTGGGCATATCGAAACCACAAGTTCACCGGGGTAACGTACAGTAAAATTCAACAAAGGTTAGGTGATATTTGCCTTAGCCGCCCAAATTTATCTTACGTGGTAAACCCAGATTTATCCACTCCCTAAAGAGATGCGCCCGTAAGGGCACATAACGAGATGTGGGTAGAGTAAGTCCCACATAGCAAAAGAGGTGCCTGACTTTGTTAGGCATCCTCTCCTACAATATGCGCTTTGCAGTAGGATATTCGGTGTCATGTATTACCTTATTCAACTGAAAACTGGGTTTAAGAATATCAAGACTTCAACCACATTCTCCTATAAGCTTTCAATGTAGATAAGGGGGATTGGACCACCATGCCAATTTTCCCTTGGCGCCCACCAAGAGGAAAATTGGCATTCTTGTTAATAATCTTGAAGTATTATTTTAAGGCCTGTTATCCAAGAAAACCCATTCGAAGTCCATGACTGCATGAACAACGCTTCGTGGAGTGACAGAAAATTTGCATACCACACGACATTCAGGTAGGTGATTTCTCCAAAGCTCACGAACACGTTCGCGACTAAGGAACGGTAAGTATATAGACCAATGGATTTGAACTGTTCATTTTGCATAATTCTTGCAACCAGGTTGAGATAGAGTCTTGTAGGTGCCATACTTAACGGACCTACGAATACTTTGTTCCCAACAAACTGAACCCTCGATGTTCAGTAATATGTTGGACTCACACTCTCTATAAAGATGAACCTTCTTTGTGTAGGGCAAATCAAATTGAAAATTTTGAACACATGTACTTCTGTGATGCCAAGGGTGGCATCAGCAGAGTCTGATGATAAACAGCCGATCCCAAAAAACACGTTTAACAGAAAGTCAAGGGCAAGAATGAATAAAAAGCGAGACCTTGGCCTGGCACCGCCATTATCCCGAAATCTGTCGTCGTGCATATAAAATGCTCCTGCAGTGGGTACCACAAAAGGCTCAGCTTCCTTCTTCTCCTCCTCGTTGACTTCCTTAGCGTCGGTAGGCACGGGTCCTGTACCTGCCTCGACCCTAGCTGGACTCTTCACTTGCTTGGTTCCTCCACCACTCCCTTCCTCTCCTTCGATAATCCTTGCGGCATCATCGACTTCTTCCTCCTCTTCCTCCTCTTCGTCGCTTCCTTTCCTCCTCCTCCTCCTCAAGAGCTGCCGTGACAGGCCTTCTCTTTGCTGCTCTTGGTCTTCTTCCTCCAACAACTCTTCCTCCTCTTCATCTTCCTCGTACAAAGGAGGCGCTCCCTCTATATCCGCCTCTTCGTCGTCCGAGTACGGCAACCTAGAACCCTCTTCGTCGACAGACGAGGCCGCATCTTGATGATGCACTCTCTCCTCGCCTCCGACCGGGTCCCGTCTCTGACTACCTCCCTCGTCTTCCTCGTCATCACTGGCAGCTCTCCTTCTCAAAGCCAGCGTCGATGTCCCATCGCTATCACTCTCATACTCGCCCTCCTCCCCTCCGGACTCCGACAATGCATCGATCACAGCTGATCCCATCGCCTCCCCGATACAAACTCTACCTCCCTCCTAATGTACCGCATAAACCACCCCGAGACACAGCGTTAGCAGTTGCACCCCTCCACCACCCGGCCACATAAAAAACTCTCCTCCTCCTCAAATCCCCACCTCGCCCTCGCTCACTCCCTCCTCTCCCTCCTCCTCGACTGCCAAAAGCTCCAATCCCTCCTCCTTTCAAAACTCCACCATCACGCCAAATCTCGCCCCCGCTCGTTCCAAGGATCGGCAACGCCCTCAACCCTGTCGCAGTCCGACCCCGAAATCGCCACCATCAATCAATCGATCTCCCTCAGCCCACAGTCCGCACCATCCTCCTCCTCATCATCATCATTCACCCTCTGCAACTCCAGTCTTGTCCTCCCCTCCCCTCCCCTCCCCTCCCTCAAATCCGGCTCGGTGCAATCCTAACTTCCTCCCTCCCTTCCCTTCCCTTCCCCCTCTCGCTACCTTTCTCCTCCCTTCAATCCTTCATTGCTTCCTTCTCCCTCCCACTCTCCTCACTGCCCTCGTCGCTCTCGACCACGTCTGTCTTTTGTGCAAAATCCACATGCGCGAGCTCGAGCTCTTCTACGACGAACGTCCTTCTCTTGGGCGCTCGTCACGACCTTTTTCTTGCCTTCGCTTGATTGATGCTGCAGGCGACGCGACGCGCACCGCACATCGTGTGCCGACTCCAACTGTCCGCTCTATGGTCGCCTGCGCACGCCAATGAACCACGCCAATTACACGCCATCGTCGCCCGCCCGCCCCATTTTCCGCCCCCCTGGCTGACATGCGACGATGACGACCTAGGGCAAACCTGATGGAAAGAAGGAAGGAAGGAAGGCAGTCCCTCTCCACGTCTAGAACGCTGGGGAACATTGCTTTGCTTTGCTTTCTATTTTTTGGGGTCTTCAGGAACTGAATTTGGGTGACTGAAATGGCTTTACTATGGAGTCATAGAGACGTCATCGGTAGATTATTGGAGGTAGATGATATTCCAGCATCGCATATATCAATCGATCTATTCCCGAGGTTTTTTTTTCTTTTTTTGTCAGTGAAGGGTTTCTTCCCGTTCTGGGGAAATAGTGCTCGAAAATAGTACAGCAGGATGTTTCTTCGGGACGTGATGGGTGCTGAGGAATTGTAGAAGATGCTTCCCTTGCCTCGCATCTCATGAACCCCATCGTTTATTGTTTATTTCCAGTTTTTTTGTTGCGATTCTAGTTGAGGTAAAACCGCATTATATTTTGGATGCATTAAACACCGCGTTCTTTTTTAATGCTAAATCAGATGTGGGTACAAATATTTTTCTTCGGGATGTGATATGATGTTTTTTAATATTCGCATTTTATCCATTATCAAATATTCATTCCTTCCATCCACTGAATTGTGTTGTATGTTATGGTATACTTTAAATTCGCCCTTATCGTTCTCGACCACATACATCCGGGGATATGATCTTCTGACTGATTGTGATTTTTGTCATGGATATTTGATTCATGCAAACTTCACTGATACTTGTCATCATTTTAACATACATGTTTCCATTACAGAGTAATGGAAACAATATATATGGATTTTTTCCCGGATATGGAATATAGCTTTCAAAAATAGAACTAAAATTCACCGTTACATTCAAATCTAAATAATTCTCTTAACAGAATATATAAACTTTTTTTACAATAAATTATATTTATTTTTTACCATTGGAACTTTACTTATGTGAGTGATTTTTTCTCCATCATAAATTTTGATTTGATGCTAATACAAAATAAATTTTTTTCAACTTATGTACACATGCATTAAATTTTAATCTATTAAATTTTATACTCAATGTTCAGTATGTAATATAATAATAATATATGCAAAATATTCATACAGCTATATATATTCAACACAACATGAATTGTTATGTTAATAATGGTATAGAAAATGCACAAGAATCCAAACATACAATACACAACTCAAATAAGATAATACATGATTTGCCACTCTTTGTTCAAGGTCACAAAAACATTATAGTTTTTACTGAAAGAACTCTCAAAGTGTTGAGAGCGAATTGTGGCTTGTTCCTTATATATATACATTGTGGTTTAAAACTAAGTTCAAATCTACTCATGATAATATTAATTCTAACTCTAATTCAATTTAGATTTAATGTAAAATTCAAGAAATTATTCACAACTTTTTTTTTAAATCATGTATGAGAGACAACAACCTCCAAAATCTATATAATTAGTCCGGGAGAAGTTTTAAAGTGAAACATAATTCAGATCATTCTTATACACTTAATTTATCAATATAAGATAAAGTAAATGTATAAATATGTAACAAAAGTTGTTGTTAAATTTAACTTGTGCTCTTCATGCAAAATATGCATAGTAATATATTATTTTATAAACTTCTTAAAAGAATACATTAATTGATCATGACAAAGCTATATTGAAACAAGTTTGCCTATCATTACGCAACTTCAAATTGTGATGCTCTGAATTTGTATCACAAGAATCAAAAGTGATCGATCAATGATGATGATGTTCAATCTTGATAAAGATAATTAGATTGCGCAATTGCATTTTGACATATTTCATTGCTATAATTGCATTGTAAGAACTACTTGATGTAAAGCACATCAAACTTGTATAAAGCCAACAAGTAAAACTACAATAAGACGTGTTATAAGGCTAATAAAAATAAAAATAACCAATTATATGTGTGGTCTCGTTTTTCACACATTCAACGAGTTTGACCTTCCGCAATATCCATTATATCAATCATGCAACGTCATAAAGATAAGAATATTAATTAGCAATTAGATTATACTTGTGAAGCTTTTCAAACATTCATAAGTAAATTAATACAAAATATGCTTTGACTGCATAAGTCATTTGAAGAAATTAAAAGTCAAACAAAATTGATATAATATTCAAATTGAACTAAATTGAAATTGTTCAAAGACTCTGCATGTTTTTGCAATAACAAACTTGTTGTAATGTCTCGACTTAATATATATTGTGATATCTTTGGCACATTGTATATAAAAAAATGTCATGTGAAAAAAAAATGTACGACGAACAAAACTTGTTGCAATCTTAATTTGTTTCATACAAAGCAAATATTTAAAAGTGTTATCAACAAATGTCAACAAAGCATTTACAATATATTTGTCAAAGTTTATTCAAGATTACACAACAAATGTCTGATAATTGTTCTGACAACATGTTATCATTATTAAACACAAACTGAAATGTTTGAAATTGCATTTGAAAATCAATTAGCTCACTAGCTTCAAAGAGTACTTCAAAAAAATATTTCATTTTGTTGTGAAAAAAAGCTTGATAGATTGCTCATTGTACTAATGGCTAAAGTTGTAAATGGTAATGACAATTTTAGATACTAAACAAATGATTAAAGATACAACATGTATGGGAGGTCTTGAAATCACGATAAAATACAACACAATATTGACATCAATTTCATATTTCAATTTTCATGATTCATAATTGTATAACTTAAAAAAATCATTACAAGCATATAGAATAAACATTGATAAATAGAGTTGATGAAAAAATAACTCAATCGATATTCAAATGATATGAATGTAACCACATACCACATCATAATACATCATTTTATTGCTAGCAACAAAAAATTGCAAAGTTAATGAAAAAGTTATTTCTTGATGTTGAAATAAATTATAAAATTATTTATAAATAAAACAAGTAATCAAAAATTTGGTTTCTTTTTCAAAATCTTCAGCTTTTTTTCACTTGTCTCTTTCAAATTAAATAACCACCATGCTTAGCAAACTTGATAATTTCATGATCTTTTTCGTCAAATTTGGTGATCGTCAATTTGATTTTTGAAATTATTAAAAATGTGTCTTATGATATTGAAGCAATTAAGTATATTTTTTCACTCATATGTTATTTTAAGCACTTCTACATTAATTTTAAGGTTAGAATCAATAAATCTTGTATATCATTCTTTTTTAAAACATGTGTTAAACAGAGATATACTTTGCTATAGGTGTGAAAATCTCAAACAATCAACAAAAATTCAAAACTTGTTTACAAATTATTCAAACGATTATAATTTTCAAAAAAATTGTCATTTATGATTTTTTTGCTAAACAATTAGAGATAAGAGATTGTGAAAGAACAACGGCTAGAAATCTTCATCGTAAATCATAACATTTGTTAGGATTTTGGACATTCTTTTGTTGATCCGTCAATCGTTGGATTTTTTACGTTTAATGTATATTTTTCCACATTTATGATTTCATGTTTGCAATAAACTCTTTCTATCAAATGGCAATTAGATCTTCAAGATGGCCTGTCTCAATATTCATGGTTGATTTATTTAATATATTTTAAATTTTGAGCCTATCTTCTCGTTGCTATTTCTTTTAATAGTGAATAAATAACTTGATGAAATCTCTATTTAACATTAAATACTTATGAAATCCAACACTTATCATTTTATACAATAATACTTCACCGACGCACATCGCAATTAATGTGTTGAATAAAAAGATTGTAACTTTATTATTGATGAGTATAGTATGAGGGATAAATTGCTCTTATCAGCCTTTAGTATATATGGATGTATATAGTGTGAAGAGTAGTGATGATCACATCATCTCATCATATGTATGCAAGAAATACTTGGGCTTGATATCCCATGATTCACCTTAATTAATGTTCTCTCTCTTTCATTTTCAGAATTCATATTCACTAAAATTCACATTTTTTTAAATTTTAAATTTTTTTTATACTAGTTTGCTTTTGCATAAGTATTTCCATCCAATTTTGATTACTACTATTAAAGATGATTTGTTTAAATAATATGTGAATCTTTAAATCATATTTGAAAAAATGCAAAATATAAAATACTATTTACAAAAAATAGTAAAAATATATAGTAATATTCAGTATTTATAAGTATTAATAAATATATAAAATAGTGTATATAAAAAATACTATTTATAAATATTTATAATGGAATTTTTCTCAAATATGATTTAAATATTCACATATTATTTAAACAAATCCTCTTTAATATTAGTAATCAAAATTGAATGACATATGCAAATCACAAAAAAACAAAATGCAAACCAGATTTTGACGCACTTTTTGCCTATAACAAAATTCACAACAACATTCATAAGTGGTTGTAACACTAAGTTTTGAGAGAAGCTCATTTGAAGATAAAAACATAAACTCTGAAGATGAAAGATACCAACAATGGTTATACTCTCCCTTGTATAGCTCTCACCAACAAGTACAAGTAGATAAAATCTTATTCCCACCATCCATCCACCTCCTAGTGAATGGATGACGTGACGGATAACCTAACAAGCACACGGATCGCTGATGTGGCGCTCTTAACTAACACATTAACTAACACATTAACTAACACACTCAATCTTTACCTACAAGCACATGGATTGCTGACGTGTCACTGTCAACTAACACATACATTCTGTACCTACCAAGTGTACTTGTGAAGATAGAAACGTAAATTCTGAAGATGAGAGATACCAACAATGGTTCTCCTTTCCCTTATATAGCTCTCACCAACAAGTACAAGAAGATAAAATCTTAACCCCATCATCCATTCCACTCATAGTGGATGGATGACGTGGCGGATAACCCTAACAAGCACACCGATCGCTGACGTGACGCTCCTAATCAACACACTCAATGCTTACCTACAAGCACATGGATTGATGACGTGGCATTGTCAACTAACACATTTATTTTGTACCTACCAAGTGCGCGGATCGTTGACGTGACAGCTATTACTAATGCACACTAAAGTATCTATATCAATATTTAGAGTAAACTCTACTTTGAATCTAACTAACTAAAGCTGGT